GAAAGCAATGGAAAGGGCTAGAGGGATGTGTTGAGGACCTACCTACAAAGCCATATCTTCTCAAGGATGGCCAGAAGTCCCATGAATCCATGCACAACCTGTTTTCCCCACACCGCCCTCTTCTCCCCGCTCTCTGAATCACTGGTGCACGTCAGACGGCTTGGCACAAAGTGAATGCCCCTTTTAAGAGAGAAGGAGAAGTCAGAAGACCAGTTCCACCAGGATTTATAGGTTTGGCCTTCAGTAAAACTTGCAAGTTCTATGCTCCTCAATTTGAGGGCAAGAAACTAGATTCTTGGCTTCTGGTGCTTCTCAGAAACCAAGTTTTCTGGAGCATCTACATAGCCACTGGGGTTTGCATCCCAACATATACCTTCCTCCACTTCACTCCACCCCAAACCACCAAATTCTTATTTCTCTTTTTGATGTGTTTGCCTGATGAGTTATTGTAAAGGCAGTTGCTTTCCTTTGGGGAGAAAAACAAAATGTTTCCCAGCAAAAGTAAGAAAATACTTGTCCCTACGGCAGGCCTCAGATCTCTGAACAGAACAGAGATTCTACTTGGGGTTCCTAAATGGTAAGGACAGTAAACATCAGAAAGGAAAATCTCCTAGGTTGCCAGCTCTCCACCATGAAGTAGGGGCTTCCTTGGTGTTTCAGGCGGTAAAGAATCTGCCTGCAAAGCAGGAAGCCCAGGTTCAGTCCTTGGAACAGGAAGATCCCCTGCAGAAGGGAATGGCTACCCACTCCAAAATTCTTGCCTGGAGAACTCCATAGACAGAGGAGCCTGGCAGGCTACAGTCCATGGGGTCGCAAAGAGTCGGACACGACTGAGCGACTAAATCGGAAAAGAGAATCTCCTCTATGATGGCTCTCCACCAAAGGGGATTAAAACTCACACACACCTCCAAGTTTCAAGCAGCTGCCACAGCATCATTTCCCTCAGGAAAAAAGACTCCCTACTGTCTGCTTTCCATGACCTTCCAGGCGCCACCACACCTTACCCTCAGGCCTCCTTCAGGCCCTCCCATGGCCCAGTGAGGTAAAGGAGATGTAGTTTAGATAAACTGTAGTCTTCTTCTGCCCCTCCCTCTGTGGCCCACTGTCTCATCTCCCCAGCCTCTCTAGTTTTTAGGAGAAAGGTTTCATTACTGAGCGCAGCCAGGAGTCAGAGGAGCCCTTGATTGATGCTGTCAGTCAGATGAAGAGCTCTTGTGGCAGAAACTGTCTTTTCTTCATTAAGTTTGAAAACATGCCCGCAGGCTAGTCTGTGATCTGCTCATCAATAAATGGAAATATTCTGAGAGACCCAAATTCATGCCAGGCTTTGGTCAAGAAAGGATGTACCCCTTGTCAATTTGCTGCCTCAAGTAAGAATTCCTAAAATCCCCTGTGTTCCCTCACCTCAGCCCGAGGTCTGAGAGGCTGGGGGAGAGAGACATCAGTTTTGATGTGAGGCTCTCCTTGAGATATGCCATCCCTGTAACTGCCTCCCATCTGGGGGACGGAAAGGGCTCCTCTCTCTGATTCTTTCCAGGACCATCTGAGGAACAGGTCCAGGAAGAGGGGATGCTGGCAGAGCTCTGAGCATATCACCAAGTGACTCAGTCCTGAGGCATCTCCTCAGCACAGCCTCCAGGGACTCCAGGAAGGCTCAAGATAGTAGGGACTGGGTTTACCAGGATGCCCAAATGTCTGTACAAGAATGTAGGACAAGAGGCAAGGACTGCTAATGGGCTAGTAAAGAATGAAGAGAGAAGGGAAGTAAATCAGGAAGTGGAGGGGAAGAAAGAAAATACTACTCAGAAAAGCCAAGCAGGATGTCCCTTACCCTGCCTTAGGAAATAAAATAAAAAAAGAGCTCTACTCTCTGCCATCAAAAACAAGAGAACGAGAGGCCAAACACAAAAACAATGACAAAAAGAGCAAGCACCACAACTGCCATCAAGCCAACAGGCATTAGCTTAAGAGCTCTAACCTGCGGGTTTTTAACAATTAACTTTTAAAGTGATTTGTTCACCAATCCACCTTGATTTCATTATGTGGGGTAATGTCAATATTGGCAGGCTTTTCCTAAAATTCCGGCTGTGCAGAGATAATGCCATCAAGGCTGGGTGCCTGGGCCATGGGGTGAGGACGGGGGTAGGAGGCTGTTCTTACATTGTTTAGCTCATGATTTTCATTTTCTTGCATTTTTTTTTCTTCTCATCACCAGACTTTGCTCTTTTTCTTGCCAAGGAGCATTACTTCTCATTGAATTGCAGCCTCTGGTGGCAGTTTCACAGACAGGCTCAAAAGGCAGTGGTGACTGGCCATGCAGTCTTGTCCCTGAACAAGTTACTTCTCAATTTCTCCCAATTTCATCTAGGAATTTTGAGGTATCTCCTGGTGTTCATTCAAAAAACATTTTATGTCAGGGTTTTGTAAATGTCCCTTATATCATTTTATGTAACAATTTTTAAGAGCCAATCTTCATGCATTCATTCATTCATTCAACTAATGTAATTGGTCACTCACCATGAGCCACAATCTCCATCCCCTTGTGTGGAGATGAAAGAGGGGGAAATATTTCAAAGCATTAATGGGGCACCACGGAACATGGAGAGCATCCTACTAAGATCAGAAGATCAGGGGAAGTCTCCCACATGAGGTGGGACTAGAGGTACATCTGAAAAGAGTAGGACATAGCAAGGAAGAGTGTAGGGAGCAGGAAAAGGAGAACACGGGCAATGGGAAAACCATGTCTAAAGGGCCAGAAGGCAGAACATGATGTCCTTGAGGAAATATCATAGAAATAAGTTATGTTAATGCAGTACTTAGTCTTTGCAAGACCCCATGGAGCACTTCATATATATTATTTCATTTAGTGTTCAGAACAACCCTGAAAGGTATACAGTGTTGTTACTATTAGATTCAGATAATCCCTCTAGCATTTTATCTAAGGGAACATTTTCTTGTTTCTTTCTGGAAGTTCCCCTACTCCCATTAAAAAAAAAAAAAAATAGAGAAAAGGCATAAGACTTTTTTTTTTTTAATATAAAGGATACTATTGACTTTATTTCTACCCAAAATTTAGTAAAAGAGATTAGATTAGCCCTACTGCCTAAAACAACAACAAAAAGCAAACAACTTACATTTTAAAAACTGGTTTTCAAAACACTAGATGTCAGACACCGCAGGTCAAAGATCCCTGAGAGATGCTCCTACCATTGGCCCAACTTAACTTCCTGCAGAGAATTTCCAGGTCATGGTGGAAGGAGAGGGACCCATACAGAGCCCCGTGGTCTCCCTGAGTTGAAGACACAGAGCTGAGAGTCCTGGAGATAATTGAGTTTTCAGGGCAGAGTAATAGAGATGAAAAAGATGTACAGAAAGAGAATTCTGAAAATCTGAAGAAGTTTGAGCCCTCTAGTGTTGAGTACTGATCAGCTAAAGTGTATGAGGAAACTCTCCAAGACTGGGGCTGGGGGTGGGGGTGGGGGGTGCAAAATGGGGCCAGCAGGGGGAGATCATTAGAATTAGAGTTGAAAAGAAACAGCACCCTCTTCCACCAGCCAGAGTGCAAAAACCTAACAATTGTACAAAGAAGAATTTTGCTTTAGTAGTAGGGAAAATTAGACCTAGACTATACTACTCTAATCCTGCCTAATAAATCATAGAAACAAGACGTGAAGTCTCAAACTATTCTCAAGTAGTTTAATAATGTCCCAGAAAATAAAGCTCATAAATATTTAAGGATATACTAAAATATATAACACCAAACAAGATAAAACTCTCAGTATCTAGTATCCAACTCAAAATGACCAGGCATGCAAAGAAGCAGAAAAATATAACCATAGTTGAGAAGAAGAATAAATTAAAATTGACTCAAAATTGATACTGACAATATAATTTATAGACAAGGACATTAAAAGAATTGCTGCAACTATAGTCCATATGTTCAAGAAGGTAAAGGAGTAATTTAGCTTGTTAATTGAGACATGAGAGGTATAGACAAGGCTCAAATTTAACTTCTAAACATAAAAACTGAGATAAAATACATACCAGATTAGATAAAGAACAGGTTAGACATTGCAAAAGAGAGCATTGGTAAACTTGAAAATATAGCAATAGAAACTTTCCAAAATGGAAAAAAAAGAAAAAAGAACCTGCGAACTGGAAGACAACTATAAAAGGATGATTATTCATGTTATTTAAATATCTGAAAGGGAGAGAGACATAAGATTATAAGAAGCTGAATATTCATGTTATTTAAGTCTCTGGAAGGGAGAAAGGCATAAAATAATATTTTAAAAGAATATTGGCTGAAAATATCCAAATTTGATGAAAATTATAAACCACATAACCAAGAAGCTCAATGAACTCCAAGCACAAGAAAGATGAGGAAAACCACACAAAGTCACATCACATTCCTTAAATTCAATGATAAAGAGGAAACCTTAAAAGCAGCCAGGGTGGGGAAAACACATTACATACAGAGGAACAAAGAATAAAAATTGAAACAGATTTTGCCTTGGAAGTGATGCAAACTAGAACACAATGGAGTGAATGGTGAAAAACTGTCAACATATAATTCTTTATCTAGTGAAAATAAATATACTTTTCAGACATTCAAAAGGTAAAAGAATTTATTATAAGTAGATTTGCATTATAAAAATATTAAAAGAACTACTTCAAGCAGAAGGAAAATGATAGCAGATGTAAATCAGAAGCTACACAAAGAAATGAAGAGTACTAAAAATATTAACTAAATGGGTAAAAATATACTTTTAAATGTATTATTTAAACTACTTTAAAAGATAATTGACAATTTAACAAAAAATAATTAAGCACTTTGTTAGATCTATACCTTACACAAAAATAAAATTTATAACAGTAGCACAAGTGCCAGGAGGAAAGAAATAGAACTACACCACTGTAAAGTTTTTGTACTATACCTAAAGTGGTAGATTGCAATGAATCATATGTGCTATAATCTGGGCATTGTCTCATGTTCACAGGAGGGCCAGTTTTGTGGAGGAAGTCCATATGGAAAGCACATGATAGAGCCAACATTCATGGTGAAAAGTACAAGTGTACAAGGTACAGTGTGGCTATAGCTATTTTTTCCCTCTATCCTTCATTAGTGCATCTGATTTCCAAGAGAAACAGTTCATTGCAGTTTGATAATGGTAGGGCCACCTATCTTCTCATTCCTTGATCAAATTATAATTTGTTATACTGTAGGTAAATTTTATTTATGTTTCACAATTTAAAGCTGATAACACGTGTCAGTTCAGTTCAGTTCAGTCCCTCAGTCGTGTCCAACTCTTTGCGACCCCATGAACTACAGCACCAGGCCTCCCTGTCCATCACCAAGTCCTGAAGTCCACCCAAACCCATGTCCATTGAGTCGGTAGTGCCATCCAACCATCTCATCCTCTGTCGTCCCCTTCTCCTCCTGCCTTCAATCTTTCCCAGCATCAGGGTCTTTTCCAATGAGTCAGTTCTTCACATCAGGAGGCCAAAATATTGGAGTTCCAGCTCCAACATCAGTCCTTCCAATGAACACTCAGGACTGATCTTTAAGACGGACTGGTTGGATCTTCTTGCAGTCCAAGGGACTCTCAAGAGTCTTCTCTAACACCACAGTTCAAAAGCATCAATTCTTCGGTGCTCAGCTTTCTTTATAGTCCAACTCTCACATCCATACATGACCACAGGAAAAACCATAGCCTTGACTAGACAGACCTTTGTTGACAAAGTAATGTCTCTGCTTTTTAATATGCTGTCTAGGTTGGTCATAACTTTTCTTCCAAGGAGTAAGCATCTTTTAATTTCATGGCTTCAGTCACCATCTGCAGTGATTTTGGAGCCCAGAAAAATAAAGTCAGCCACTCTTTCCACTGTTTCCCCATCTATTTGCATGAAGTGATGGGACAGGATGCCTAACATGTATACTTGACCTTAATTCTTATGGTTTCAAATTCTCTCCCTTTGGGAAGGTAGGAGGAAGGAAAATTTATCTTGAAATACATTATTTTAAGAGAGTAAAATCTTTCAGGAAGGTTTTTGGGGGGAGTGATCTCTATTGTTTGATTTCAACAGTTCAGATACACAAAAACAAGTGGTATAAAATCTGCATGGGCCTAACTCTGACATTCTTATCATATCTGTCCAATGCTAAGCCCCTGAGGGCAATAATATTTATATTTTAGTAGGTCTGGACAAAAGTTTAAAGGCTTCTGTTCTCCCAAACCAGATGACAATATGTGGGCTAGATATTTGGTTCAGATTCAACCTCTGACTTCATCCTGACTTCATCCTGAGCAGGTGAGGTCTGCTCTTGAGACAATGACATTCTTCTGAAGCTGCTACTAGAATATTCAGCAGAATTTCCCCAAGGAGGGGCCGGTACCACTCCAACAGGAATCCTGTGGGACTTTTCTTGACCTAGAACAATAGTAATTGCTGTTGACAGACAGAAGTAACTAGAATGATAGGGCAGGTGCTAGATTATTGGATGCAGAGTGCTGTGTATTCTTCTGTTGTTGAATGTAGTATTCTTTAAAGGTCAATTATGTCAAATTAGTTGATGTCAGGTTAGCATTGTTTGGGCTTTCCTTGTGGCTCAACTGGTGAAGAATCTGCCTGCAATGCGGGAGACCTGAGTTCTATCTGTGGGTTGGGAAGATCCACTGGGAAAGGAAAAGGCTATCCACTCCAGTATTTTGGCCTGGAGAATTACATGGACTGTGTAGTCCATGGAGTCACAAAGGGTGGGACATGACTGAGAGACTTTCACTTTCTTAGCATTATTTAGTTCTTCTATATCCATATTGACTTTTCTCTATATATACACATATATATGTATATATATATGTTCTATTATTAAGAGGAGGTGCTAAAAATCTCTGACAGTCACTCTACGTTTCTTTTTTTCTCCTGAAAGTTCTACCAATTTTTTGCTTCATGTTTGGAAGCTGTTATGTTCACAATATTAGGTGCATAAATGTTTAAGATTGTTATGTCCTGTAGATGAGACGTGTGTGCTAAGTCACTTCAGTCATGTCCAACTCTTTGTGATCCCAAAGACTGTAGCCCACCAGGCTCCTCTGTCCATGGGATTCTCCAGGCAACAATACTGGAGTGGGGTGCCATGCCCTCCTCCAGGTAATCTTCCCAATGCAGGATAGAACCTGGATCTTTCACGTCTCCTGCATTTGCAGGCAGGTTCTTTACTTCCCTGGTGGCTCAGAGGGTAAAAGCGTCTGCCTACAATGCGGGAGACCCGGGTTCAATCCCTAGGATGGGAAGATCTCCTGGAGAAGGAAATGGCAACCCACTCCAGTACTCTTGCCTGGAAAATCCCATGGACGGAGAAGCCTGGTAGGCTACATGGGGTCACAAAGAGTCAGACACAAGTGAGCGACTTCATTTTCTTTACCACTAGTGCCACCTGGGAAACCCCATAGATGAGGAGACTGCTTTATTAAATGAGACTCTGTATCCCTAATAGTATTCTTTGATCTGAAATCTAATCTTTCTAATATTAGTATAGCCACACCAGCTCTCTTTAGATTATTTTTAATATGATTTATCTTTTCCATCAATTTACTTATATTTATGTCTTGCTATTTAAAGGAGGTTTGGTTTCTTGTAAAAAGCACATAGTGGACCTTACTTTTTCTTACCCTGGACATGTCCAGTGCTATGACCATTTACATTTAATATATTTTTTGATACAGTTGAGTTTAAATCCACCATATAGCTATTCATTTTATATTTGAATTATCTGCTTTTCTTCCTTCTTTCCTTTTTTTCTCTCTTTTATGAATGAAGTATTTTTATGATTCCATTACATCTCTGTTGTGATTGCTATGTACAGGTCTTTGTTTGGTTATTTTAATGGCTACCCAGCCTACCAACATGATCATTTTGATTAATTTAATTATTCAAGTTTTTTAAAAGCCCAGCTATTTAATTAGCTGACAAAAGGAAATGTTGAACTGAGATCTATGTCTACTGAAAATATTTCATCCATACATCTATTCAAATAAATGTAAATGCTATTAAATTCTACTTGCGGCCAAGTTGCCCCAAGCAAAGAACAGTTAGTGAGTTTCAGATGGGATGAAGAAGATGAGTGCAGAATGCAACTATCAATTAAGAAGTAAGAGATCTACTATGTGTGCAGCACAGAACCCTGACTACAGTTCTATTAGGTAATTGTTATCCAGTTTTACAGATGTATAGGTAGGATTTAGATGAAAAAATTACTACACAGGTTTACAAAGTAACACAAACAACAAAAGAGAAGAAGGTTCTAGAAGCCGGATTTGTCTGGCCTAAGACCCACATACAAACTCTAGCTCAGATGACCTCCAGAATTGGACAACCATCAGAAATGATGTCCCCATCATCTAATACTGATCTGCCTATCATAAAATTAGTGCTCAATAAGTATTGATGGAATGAATGGATAGGGTAGAGATGTGATAACAAAGATGGATTCACACACTGCCTACTTCATGAGGGTGTCTCGAGGATCCTAAAGATATCCAATCACAGAGTTATCTCCTTTTACAAAATGCTGTCCCACATCCCCAACCCCCTTCCCCTCCTTGGCACACTACACTTTTTTTTTTTTTTTTTTAGCAGATACTTAAAAATTTTCCTTTCCCTAGAAGAAAACTTCTGTATTTCTAATCTACAGAGGAGCCAATAATGACTTTTTTCTCCAAGACTGGGATGGATTCCACTACTAATGTCTTAGTTGAAACAAAGAGCAACTTTTCAAAAGTTAGGGATTAGCACATTAAAGGCATCTACAGCCACATTCTGGTTCTGATCTTATATCACCTGAAACAGAAAAACCATAGATGGGGAATGGTTTTAGGCCAGACTGAAACTCAGTAGTACTTTTTAAAAAAATTCTATTTTTAATTGGAGTATAATTGCTTTACAACGTTGTGTTGGTTTCTGCCTTAAAACAACATGAATCAGCCATAAATATACACATATGCCCTCCTTCTTGAACCTCCCTCCCAACCCCCATCCCACCCCTCTAGGTCATTACAGAACACCAGGCTGAGCTCCCTATGCTATATAATAATTTTCCACTAGCTATCTATGTAGCACTTCTTGATAAGGAGGCAGAGCTACTTAATCAGGATTAAAGTTCTATCTTCAAACCACTTTAGGATTGATTTTTAAAAGGTGGTGTGAATTTTCCTGTGAACTAATAGAGTCATCAAAGACATTTCCCATATTGCATAGAGCCTACAACAAGATCCCTGAGAGAGCATAAGAGGTAAAGACGGGATCTAGGCCTAGTCTTGGTCCAGCAATAGGAGTATTTCAGGTCTACAAAATCAGGGTGAAAGTGAAAGTCGCTCAGATGTGTCCGACTCTTTGTAACCCCATGGACTGCAGCCCTTTTCCATGCAAGAACACTGGAATGGGTAGCCATTTCCTTCTCCAGGGGATCTTCCTGACCCTGGGATCGAATCCAGGTCTCCTGCATTGCAGGCAGATTCTTTAGCATCTGAGCCACCAGGAATTAAGTAGGACAAGTTAGGCTGTTGGAGCTGGCCCCTGAGAGCCCTCTGTCTCCTTTTTAGGCTCATGCCCCCATTCTCAAGATCAGACACCAGCTGCAATCCATGTTCTCAGAGAATCTATTCATGACATTGGTTTGTAGAGCTATCTCAAACTAGGATCTGAGTGCATAAAGATGGCCCACCTGTCCAGTCAGGTGCTCTTCTTTGCCCCGGATTATAGCTTGAAGACTCAGAGCTATAAAAAAGATTATTATTTTTAATAAAAAAGCAATCATCTCTTACCTTTAAATAGTACTTTCAACTTACAAAATGCTTTCATTTCCATTATCCCATGGACACAGCCAAATAGACCTGATAGCAGGGCAAATATAAAAAAGGCAAGAACTATTAAAAAAAGATAAAGCTACCTTGAGTACAAACACTGAAAATCCAAGAACAAAAGAAAATCGAAAACTAGAAACATAAACCTATAACCACGGCCAAAAAGGAGAGAAACAAGTGGATCAAGAACCTACAGAGCAAAACAGCAT